GTGGCATAATAAACAAGCTGAATGAGCTGCCTTCACTTCTCTCATCTCACTTGGCCTTTGTAAGTTCTTCAACATGTTGGTGATAGCAGCAAGTTGGGCAGAAACCGAATCTTTAGAATCTAGCTCGAAAGCTCCATGAGATTTTTGCCCAACTCCAAGCCTTGTGGATGGAAACTGATAATCATTAGTGGCAATCTTATCCAGTATGTCAAATGCATCTGCTGGTGATTTGTCAAGTAACGTCCCATTTGCCGAGGCATCTAGTATCATTTTCGTGGGTGCGTTAATTCCATTATAGAATATCACAACTTGAGTCCAGTCGTGGAATCCATGATCACTTGCGAAACAAACTTTTGTATCGATCCCAACACTCATACATAGACTCTCCATCGCCTTGGTGAAAAGATGTTATGGCATTTCTAAGATGGTTGTTCATATCGGTTTGATTATGCCATAGCAAAAAAAATTTGCACAAGTCAGCCCAAGACCTTATCGAGTCGGAAGGTAATCCATTGAGCCATGCCCTGGCGTGATCTTTCAAAGAATATGGAAATAACTTCAATTTCAGTACATCTTCATGCACACCTTGTTGTCGAAAGCAGTCACAAACCTCCAAAAATGCCCAAACATGTTGTCTTGCATCCTCATGAGGAGCACCACCAAACTGTCCAATAAAGTCCAACATGTCGAACATAACCGGTTTAAGCTCGACGTGGGCTGCCTGAATCATGGGTACCACAATTCCAGGATCTAGGTCGTCCATGATAGGGTATAAATGATATCGAATAGTATGAGGCCTAGCTATATTCCCAGCATTTGGAATTGCCTCGACATTCTGATCTTCCACTTGACCCATTCTTTTATTTCCAATTTGGTACATATTTGCTTGAGCACATTGAGTATGTAAAATAAAAGCCTGAAAAAGACAAGGAAAATAACAAGTAAAACTATACAAAAAAAATAAACAAGTAAAATACAAATGTCATGACAAAACAAATTAACTTCCAATTGCCAATTCCCCGGCAACGGCGCCAAAAACTTGTCCGCTATTTGTGAGTACTATAAATGGGTGCGGATATGCATGCAAGTATACACAATCGAACAAGTAATAAAGTGATAAGTAGAGTTTTGTCTCCACAGGGAATTGGGGAAGTCAGATAGGGTTTATCAAGGCACTTTACTTTGTCACCTAAGTAAAGTTAGTAATGATATATACAAATGAGAATGTTGTGGCAATATGAATTGACTGATGTGGGAATGGATTATGGCAGTGAGGCAGCAAATGGATATGTCGTGGTAAATTAAAGTGTAATGCATGCAAACAAATTTAAATGCCAAGGTAAAATAAAATTGCAAATGCTAGATTTAATATATAGGACTTTAGCTTTCTCACGCGACAAGCTGCTATGGGCAGTGAGTGATAGGAGTCACTAAGGAAAATCTAAGTCTACTTCTCCGAATAATCTTATCTCTATGTCTCTTTTGCCCGACAGAGTATACTAAGGTGCCCTATGCTATCTCTAGTAAGGGACTCGACAGATTTAAGATGCCCTGGCAAAACCGGTTGGCGTAAACCTGCAGTGATCCTATTGGTCCAGATAACAAGATATGTCTCAGCAATACCTTTTTGCGGCAGCATTAACATCTAATCTATCACTCATGCACAACTTCTTTTAGTCGAATGAAATCCTAGCCTTATCTCTAAGGTAGATTAGGCCTAGTTACTACCTAAAACCCCTTGTTTATGTAGTTCCTCCCTAGTTTCTCTCGAACACTAAGGATATGTTACCTAGGTATTCTCTCGAACCCTAAGAATCTCCTAAGGAATGGCTACTCTCGTAGCTCGTACAACCTTAAGGCATTAAACTCCATAAACAAAACAGAATATAACATATAAAATCAACCATTCATTGAAATAAAACTTAAACATCCAAGTGAACTCCCACCAAATAGGTTTAGTTCATGGTGGGGTCAAAATCAACAAGCACAAAGCAAGATTCATTCGTTCCTTACAACCCAACAATAAAATATAAAAGCAAAGGACTAAGGGGAGGAGAGAAAGCCTTCGACGTGCACTGCCCAATGCTTCCCTCGGCCCACCAAGATCTACTCCTAGCGAACTGGCTCCTCTCGGATGCTCAGAACGCCACTCCCTTCGGCTTGTCAAGGAGAAATGCCACGGCAAGTAGGATTGACGGAGAAAGATGAGACATTCTCTCTCTAACTTTTTAAGCTCAAATATGGGTTGAACCAAAGTCTTCTTCATTGTGGCTTCATCCTCTATTTATAGGGGAAAATTAACCCTAGGACTTGGTGTTAACTATCCTAGAAAACCCCAAAAACCATGGTAAAGTGCTTGGGTGTCGGGCAGAGCATAGCAGTCATCAGCAGGACCGGCGGTTGCAGCGCCGATCCCTCCAGACGTATCTTCGAGGTGGATTTCTCAGACAGAGGGCACGAAGAGTTGGGGGCAGCTGGCTAGAAAATATATTCTTTCACCTTTTTCGTTCTCGAAATGCCAGTCGAACACGGCATTTTCATTTAGCTCAACAATCTCCTTATGTCACAACATTTTCTTTCCTTTTCTCATTGCTTTCAATTCCTGCACATCATCAAACAAACACCTTTCCCATAAAGTAGCACTGATGACAAATTAAAATGCCGCGGCAAACTGAATTCCGCCACATGCAACTAAATGCTTCTAAATGCATCTACATGGTCCTAAATGAGCTCTTAAACATTCAATAACTTAAGTGAAAATGTTCCAAAATGTGACCTTTTTACAGAGTTATCAGACGTCAAAACCACATTCCTTAATGGAAAACTTGAAGAGGATGTGTATATGACACAACCAGAAGGTTTTGTCTTTCCAGGAAATATTGGAAAGGTTTGTAAGCTACAGAGGTCTATTTATGGACTAAAGCAAGCTTCTCAAAGCTGGAATCTTCGTTTCAATGATGCAATCAAAGAGTTTGGTTTTATCAGAAATAAAGATGAGCCTTGTGTTTATAAGAAGGCTAGTGGGAGCATTGTTTCTTTCTTAATCTTGTATGTAGACGACATACTCATCATAGGAAATGATATACCTACTTTACAGTCTGTTAAGACTTGGTTAAGTAGTTGTTTTTCTATGAAAGATTTGGGTGAGGCAGTGTATATCTTAGGAGTTAAGATCTATAGAGATAGATCAAGACGACTTTTAGGTCTAAGTCAAAGTACATATATAGACAAAGTGCTGAAAAGGTTCAGTATGGAAGAATCCAAGAAAGGATTTTTGCCTATGAGACATGGCATTTCTCTTTCGAAGGAAATGTGTCCTTCAACTCCACAAGAAAGAGAACAGATGAATAAGATTTCATATGCTTCGGCTATTGGTTCTATCATGTATGCCATGATATGTACTCGACCAGATGTATCGTATGCTTTAAGCATGATGAGTCGGTATGAAGCGAACCCTGGTGAAAATCATTGGGTTGCAGTTAAAAATATCCTTAAGTACTTAAGAAGAACTAAGGGTAAATTTCTTGTCTATGGATGGGAGGAAGAGCTTTGTATAAAAGGTTTTCAATTTTCACCTTCCCTTCGTCTGCAGCCATCACTCCCACTCGAATCTGGCTTCGTTTGGATCATTTCTGACAATTTGTGTGAACCACCGTGTATTATAACACCTCCGTCGACAAATTCATATCGCCGACAAAATTTTTACTATTCACGAAATTCACTATTCATGTGAATAGTAATGAACAGTAACCTCGCAAAAATTGATAAAATTCACAACCAAAAGCTCTGATTATCAGTTGTTGGGAAATAAAACACGAACGAGTAATTTTCCTATAACCATATTAGTGAGAATGCGAAATAAAAGCGGAAAAATAATACCCGAAATTGATAACGGAGTTCAGCCAATTTTGCCTACATCTCCGGACTACTGCAGATCTTTTACTAAAAGAGAAAATTTACAGGTGTTTACAAAACATTCACTACTCACAAGAAAACTCTATAGTATTGGGAGAAAGAAACGATTTTGGATGATTTTGAAGCTAAATGAGCTAGGGTATTTATAGTTGAAGCTTATGGACTAATATTTGAAAATACCCTAAAGTGCAATGACTAAAATGTAATTAACCATTGCTTAAATTCAAAAAAATGGGCTGCCTAACTTTGAAAAAATAGCAGTCCCATTGAATTCTCTTGCCAACCGCCCCATGTGTTTTTTACTTTCAACAAAAAAACACTCCTACTGCTTTCTGATCATATATCATATATTAAGTACAATTAAAAATATATAACTAAATAGTTTTTTCATATATTATTTATTATATATTTTAAAAATTATAATTTAATAAATAAATCACCTCAAATCAAACCATCAAAATAAATTTAAATTAAAGTCAGAATAAAAAATCTGGCCTAACTTTAAAAAATAAAATTATTTTAAAGTTAAGTTAGAGATGGAATACATTTAACCTTAAAACCATCTTCATTTAGGCTTTGACTTATTTTCGTAAATCAAACTTTACTTCATGTTTGTATTCACTAAACATAAACACATTTTATACATGAAACAGGAAAAAAAATACAAAGGCAAACAGTCTAAAAAAAGTAAAACTTTTGAACAGGAGAATAGCATACTGCATACATCAACTATTTTCTCCTTATATATTTTAATGCAGTGTAACACGACAGAAATCTAATGTTTAAAAGGTGGCGAATCAAATAAAGGAGGCAGCAGAAATGGTGGCACGAAACCAGTATCTGGTGCTGATGGAGTCGATGAAAATGGAAATGGCTGCTCATGGATAGTTGGGATTACTGGAGGTGGCAGAAAAACATTTGGTGCACTTGATTCAATGGGTGGTGCAAATGTAAAGGGTGGTAATAGGGGGTCAGGTGGTGAAGAAAATATTGGCACTAGACGTGTTGGGACAGTCACATCAGACGGTAAATCTTGTGCTGGCGGCGAAAATATTATGGGCAGAAACGGTGGTGTTGGTTGAAACATGATTGGTGGCAAGTTTGGCTCTGTTGGTGGGGAAAATACGGGCAGAAGTGGCGTTGTTGGTGTAAATTCATCATCTGGAGGCATGTTAGTCTCCGTTGGAGTAGCAAATACGGGCGGGAGTGGCGTTGCTGGTGTAAACTCATCGTCTGGTGGCAAGTCTGGCTCGGTTGGTGGAGCAAATACGGGCGGTAGTGGTGTGGTTGGTGTAAATTCATCGCCTGGAGGTCAAAGTATTGGGAGTAGAGGTGGTGCTGGTGTCGAATCAGGCTCTGGCGGAAGGAAAGGGTTTGGTGGTAGTGATAAATCTGGAATAGATGGGGTGACCGGAGGAGTTAGCCATGGAAATATTGGCGATGGAGGTGGTGAAAGAACTAGCGGCGGTGGTGAAAATACAAATGGTGGTGGACTTTCTGTTGGTGGTGGTGGTATGGCACTAATGGTGGAGGCGGTGAAGGAAATGGTGGTGGGGATGAAGGTGGTGGAGCAGAAGTAACAGGTGGCGGGGAAGGTGAGGGAAGTAAGGGTGTGGTGATGAGACTATTGGAGGAGGGGATGGTAATAAAGGTGGTAAAGGCGGTGGCAATGGCGGAGATCTCCTACGCCTAGGCAGAAAGGGGTTGTCCGGAGAGGCAGATGTTGAGAAAGGCCATTGACCACAGGTTCCAAACAGGAACTTAAACAACGGATCACAAGATGTTCCTCCTCTCCTCCCACCATCGCCGCCGCCGCCGCTGCCACTTCTTCTTCTTAGTTCTTGTTGTGGGCCTCTATGGTGGGAATGTGACCTGGCCTCTGTATCACTTTGGGTGAACAAAAGCAAAGCAAACACTATGAAAACGATGTTTTTCATAGCTGCTTCATATTTCCCTCATCTTTGGTTATTAGTTTTACTTATATAGAATGCATGAAAGTGAGATGTGATTTTAACGAATGTTTATTACAAGTATGGTCAATTTGACTTTTCCCTTTGGTGATTAAAAAGAAAATGCCTTGAACTTCACAACTTCATGGTCTGCTTCGAAATTTGGGAATGGAGTTATTAATCCAGTTGGGTTCCAATACGTGCATGCATGCTTGCAGTAGTATTAAATTTGCCATTCTTCTTACATTTCTTTCTATTGGTTCTCTCAATAGGCAACCCAGCTAACTAAGATTTAGCCTTTTTGACATTTCGTTTAATTTTTCAGTCTGCTTAAACTATGCTTATTATCTCACTAGTCTGTTCATTTCGTTATTTCAGTCTATTCAGTGTTGAATTTATTCTTTTAAATTTTTAGGATAATGAATTTAAAAATCGGTGCTTTTATCATATATATTACTAATCGATACGACTAATAACTTAAGCTGCGCAGCAATGTAAACTTGGGTTCCCAGAAAACTAATAGATTAGGGTTTGTTCTAAATACTAATAGATTTTTTTAAAAAAAAAGAGTCAGATTTAATATATTAGCTTTATTAAATATAAAAACATGTATTTGCATGTTTATAGCTAAGTGGCAAAGTAATTGGAAAACACATTGAACCTGCACTGCATGATGCATTCATTTGTAGTAATAAATAGAGTGGATAAGATTGAAGCGAGGAAGGACAGACCAGCTAAGCAGAGTTACGATTATCAATAGATGCAGATATTACGTAACGAGACAAAACGAAATGGTTTTTTCTTATAAATGCAAAATGGATAGAAACTAGAAAGCCCTGATTCTCCCTTTTCGGGCTACATTATTTCCTTGGGTACAATCAACAAATTATTTACCTAAACTAATTGCAATTCTAATGTGATTTTGAAGTGTCAGATTATATGAGGGGAGCAATTGGACCTCAAATGCAATGGAAGATCATGCGGCATATATAGCTAAAGATCTCATCCCTCATTCCATTTGCCACTCTTCGCCTCAGTATGTTTATACCTTTGAATTTATGTGAGTAGAGATAGAACGAAGGGACGGATAAAAATGGTTGTTTTCTTATAAACTTTTAAGTTGTTATATATTTCAAATTTATTATAATTTTTATTGATAGTCTATTTTTATTCTAAAAAATTTATAAATTTATCACTCTTAAAATTTTGAGTTTATTTTTTAACATTAGATTTTGTGTTTGTCTTTAAGAATTAGTACATGACCGTATTTGCTGCCTCACCTCAGGTTGTTAGGCTGGGATTGACTTTGCTGCCTAGTCACTATTTAATATATATTATTACAAGTTCCTATTAGGGGATATTAGGGTTTAAGCAATATTATGGTGTTGTTTCGTTTACTGCTCAAGTGGTCTACATTTCTGCATTGCTCTACTATTTTTAATATGCCGTTCTCTTATTTAGGAGGATTTGACACGTTTTATGTACTCTATGCATAGGCTTTTGTGCCTTTGAATTTTCAATAGTTTGCCTGTTAGGAATAATTGCTAGCTCCATAAAAGTGGGCAAATTTAGCTTCTTTGGCGTAGAAACCAGCAATTTGTTCTTCCTCCTCTTCAACGAACAAAAAAATAAGTATAGCGTTTGAGTTATTTTTATGTTTTCCCCTTAGTTTTCTAATAGTAGCTTTGATTTTTGGATCAAATTGGCATGCATTTGTTCCTCAAAGTGACAGCTTTTTCTGCAAGCCTTCTTTGGGTATTTTTTTCCTATTGGTGTGTTAGTATAGTTACCTATGCTGGCTATGCTAACAAAAAAAAGGTTCCGTAGCTGTTATCAAATATCGGTTATTGGAAGATGCAACAAACGGTTTCCATGAAAGTAATGTTCTGGGTGAAGGCGGTCGTGGACGTGCTTATAAAGCTTGCTTCGATGAGAAATTTCTTGCTGTCGTGAAAAAAGTAGACGATGTAGGAGTGGAAGCTGAAAGGGAATTTGAGGTAATATTTTGTGCCTGACTGAAATACATTTGGATATCTATAGTCTATGGCATTTGATATCTTTGCTGGTTTTATTGAAATATGCAGAATGAGGTGGACTGGCTGGTCAAAATCCGGCATCAGAATATTGTTTCATTGTTGGGTTGTTGTATCCATAGTGAATAGGTTACTTGTATATGAAATGATGCAAAATGGTTCTTTGGAGAGTCAGTTACATGGTATGTATAAACTCCTTTTCTCGATTCCAAAGACAAAAAAAAAAATAGTAAAAGTTAGTGGAAGTGGATAAAGTTTATCCTTTGATCTAATTTTATTGTTGGGACATTATAGGACCTTCTCATGGATCAGCTTTAACCTGTAATTTACGAATGAAAATTGCAGTTGATGTTGCTAGGTGAATTTCATAGCCAATTCTGTTCTAATCTCTTATTCTGATCCAATGCATTTTTGTTGTTAAATTGGTTTGGAACTTTTTTCGATGATCTCTGATAGAGCATTAGAATATCTTCACGAGAACTGCAATCCACCAGTTGTCCATAGAGATATAAAGTCATCTAACATCCTTCTCGTGCCAGCATACAAATTCGGAACATGCAACTGTGATTCCTTGAATTTGATTTTGCATGTGCCCTTCTTTGCTACAAGATTGATTAAGTAACTTCCCTCATTGCTTTTTGTTGAAGTATGCTGCAGTTGCTGGCTTTCCTGTGTGTGTGGCTGATGCATGAGTGGATGACTAGTTCACACTTCCATAGTTATTTCTAGATGCAAGAGTAACTAAGTTCTGTTAAGCTGCTAGTTAGTTAAGCTGTTAGATAGTTTGCGTTTCTGTTATAATAGGCAGTTAGAGTTCTTGCTAACATACGTGTAATCTTGGCGGATATATAAGGCGTGTAAGGGTGATGATTTGAAATGAGAAAGAAAGCATTTTCTTCCACTCACTCTACTGAGTATAACACGAGCCTCGAGCTCTTTCAATATGGTATCATTCGCTACTACGTCCTAGGGTGCGTTTTCGCTGTTCATTCTCTTCAATGGATCAAAGTGTTTCTTCTACAGCCACATCAATGGAGTTCTCATCCAGAAACACCAAAGTGTTCACCAATAAAAGAGTGAACGTGGTTCTTGATGAAACAAATTTCCTGCTTTGGAAGCAACAAGTGCTACTCACTGTAAGGAGCCACCGTCTCGAACGAATGCTGAATGGCACAATGCTGCAGCCTCCAGAAACGATTGTTGGTGAAGAAGGAATTGCAATTGTGAATGAAGAACATGAAGAATTCTTGGCTCAAGACAGTGCGTTGGCTTCTTGGCTACTGTCAACAGTTAGTCCCCACTTGCTTCCTCAATTTGTTGGTGCTGAAACGTCTTCTCAGGTATGGAGCAAAGTCTTGCAATTCTTTGCTAATCGTTTTGCTACTGCCATCATGAGTTTACACTATAAGCTCCAATCTCTTAAGAAATGAGGAGATAGCATGCAAACTTACCTCACAAAGGTAAAGGAGGTTACTGATGCGTTGAACTCATGTGGTAGTCTTGTGTCAGTAGCTGAACATGTTGCGACCATTCTCAAAGGGCTCACAAGGGAATATCAGCCCTTCATAGCAGTTATATCTGCTATGCGCGACACATTGTCGCTTGACAGCATTGCACAATGCTTGTTGATGCTGAGACTCAACTAGAAGGTTTTGATTATCAACCTGACTCTCTACCTATCAGTGCAAATCTTGCACAAGCGAAGGCTGAACCTGAGCCTCACAAGAACCGTGAAAAGCAACAGTTTCAGTCAAATAATTCATCTTACACGCGTGGGAGATCCCGTGCCAGAGGAAGAGCTCGACCTAAAGTCCAGTGCTAGCTGTGTGGCAAGAATGTACATCTTGTTAGTCAGTGTTGGCACAGATTCGATGAAGACTTCTCAGGCATAACGATTGATGATCACAACGCTGGGCTTGAGTCTTCAAAAGTATATTATGTTTTAAATGGGAATAATGAAAGTACATGTACATATTGCAATCACAGTGGCACGTATCATGATGACAGCAGGAATGCTGGGAGAGGTCAAGCACATGCAATGTTTGCTGGCCAAGATCAGTGGGTAATTAATTCTGGTGCAACGCACCATGTTACCTCCAATGCATCCTCGATCACGCATCACTCAAACACTACCAATCCTGGTAAGTTGATGGTAGGAAATGGTGAATCTCTACATGTTCATTTGGTCGGTAAGGCTGAGTTGCCTGCCCTATCACGAACTTTGTCATTGAGCAACATTCTTCACGTTCCTTCAATAACAAAAAATATACTTTCTGTCTCCAAGCTTGCTAGGGATAACCAAGTGTACCTTGAGTTTCATGCTAAAACGTGCTATGTTCGAGATGAAGCCACCAAGGTTGTTCTGCTGCAAGGTGAAGAATGCAATGGATTATATACTTTTAAGTCTAGTAGGACTCAACACAAAGATAGTGTTACTGAAGTACAAGCTGCCATGGCTTCCCCTACAATGACAAAAATCTGGCATAGAAGACTTGGCCACCCTACTTACGATACACTAGTCAAAATTTGTAAACAAATAGATGTAAAAACGTTTCATGATGTTAATAAGAGTTGTATTGCATGTCATTTGGGTAAAAG